TAACGGCCGCGCGAGACCGCGAAATAGAAAGAGTTAATTGCAGGGTTTAACGCGTTTAACCGTGCATTATTAATCACTACGGCCGACGTAATTATTGCCGGCTATTATTAGACGCTCCCGCTCTCGCGCGCGCGTACGTTAGCGCCGACATTATGTTCGTTCGTTCGTTCGTTCCGTCCCGTCTGCAGATAAATTTATCGGCTGGAAAAATGAGTATCACGCCTACATTTCGCGCGGGACCCACCCGTGCGGCCGTGGCCTGCGAGGACGGACGTGTGGGTTAGCGATTCGAATCTCACACCTTCGTGACATACGTTAACATCACGTTCGCGGCCACTTCCTTAAATTACATGACGTGCCACTTACTTCTTGTCGACGTTCTCATTCAGGCGCAACAAATGCGTGGTAGTACGCAGCTTCGACTAACTTCCTAGCTGATACTAGACTAACGTACCTATGATGCATCGCGATTTCCTTATCGATTTTAAGAAGTTACAGAAAAATAACAATAGTGTTATCTTTTTGCGTATTTTGTACTGGAAATTCTTGTCGCTAGGTTCTTTGATCGATTCTGAGTAAATTTCTTTCAATAAGAATGTCGTGTAATATCCATATTTTTCAAATAATTAAGTACATTGAACAAAAACATTAAAGACAAAGAAATGGCAAAGATTTCTATCTTAAGCTTTAGAGAAAATAACAATATAATATTCAATAATTTAAGTTTATTTCAAATTTATCCATTCTTATCACTTTTGCTGCCAGTTTTTAAAAATGTATAACGTAAACAAAGAACAACGATAAAAATTGTTTCAGAGAGAACAAATTGGCCGGAGAGATCGTGATTAGAATTCCGATGAAATTCCGGGACACCCTGTATATTTAATGGATCTCGAAGTCGAGTATCCAGCGTGAGCAGAAAATTATTGCGTTACGGGGGACTCGAGGCACGAACGCTGAACACACGTGCGTTGAAGTCATCGCATCGGTGCGGCGGCATCGCGGGATATATACTTCGCCGTACGTCTCTGGACCCAGACGCGAACCCCATTGCGCGATAATTGAAGTCACGCTTCGTGGGAAGCGCGGCCTTCGCAGATAGAAATGCCGTCGCACAAAGGGTTAGACAAAGGGCGTGCTTGAGCGTTTCGACGGTATGACTCTGTACGCCGCCCGCCTTCACAACCCTGCGGTGATCTTCGGGGTCCGGGCAAAAAGCCGTCGACGTGGACGAAGCCCGATGATGCCGTCCGCGCGACGAAAAAGAGGACAGTTTTGGCCCGTAAAAGAGCGCGGGGGAGAAGTAGCCCGAGAAGGACCCCGGGCCCTCGCACAACCCCGGGGAGGCCACGAAGACGGTGCGCGGGACCAGAAAAGAACAGGCTCCGAAAGCGGAACAAAAACGTCCGAACTGCACAGAGTCGGCGATTCCCGAAGAGTCGCGGATCCCATAGCGAATGACGAAGGTGGGAGGAGAAAAAGATACGATACGGGAGGAAAGGAAGAGAAATAGAGATGGAAAAAGAGAGAAGGGAAAGAGATGCTATAATTTATTACGTATATTGGGACTGAATTTTTAAGACTATTGGAATGATAATTTATATAAATAGTTACTAATGTTAAAGGAGACACACGCGCGTTACATTAACATAAATTGTCAAAAAATTATCGCTTTTCCAAAAAATATTATAAAACAATTTTTATCGGAAACTTTTATTGATTTTTATACATATATGTATATATATAATTATGTCTAATTTGTCCCATTTATGATTTCAACACTTTATTTGGATAGGACGAAAGCTGACAAATATTTTTCCGTTGCGATTAAAAACATGATCTCTCTAACAGAGGGAATCAAAAAAAATATTTATCCAATTTTTCTGGAGCTGATCTCTACAAGCTTTTTTCAAGCTAAGGGAAATCAATTCTTTGTTTGTTACCTTGACAGCAACATCGATTGGGATTTCACCATAATAGCAAAAGGCGGTACATAAAGTACTATATAAAAGAATCATGTTTCTCTCGAAAGCAACATTACCAAATAAAAGATTAAATTTAAGAAAAAGAGAGATAAACGTGTGGATGAAGATGAAGAGAAGCCAAGGGCGACGGTAGGCGGCTTGAAAGAGATGGAAGGGAGGAGGGAAGGACAGAGGGAAGGATCTTCAGAAATAAAGCGGTGTTGACGCACACCGGGGGTAGAGATGGGACCGACTGCGCGCTTCTCAGCGGTCCTAAGGCCCTGGCGCGCGCGCAGAAGTAAGGGCTGCGCTCGCTCATCCAAGATCAAGTTTTTCTTGAGTCTTCGAACCATCGGGAGAGTGAGGAAAGAGAGAGAGAGAGAGAGAGAGAGGCCAGGGGCCCGAACTCGAATCCGAGTTGATTTCTTGGCACGCGGTTCATCTTGTCGTTTATTCCTCTCTCGCTCTCTCTTACTCTTTTTCTCTCAATCTCTCTCTCTTCTTTCTCTCCCGTTACAACCGTCTTCTCTTCCTCTCGCCGTTTCCCTGCCCTCCAATCCCAGAATGTGGCAGGACTGGAGCACAGATGGGATATCGGTACCACGAGGGCACCGATTTCAAGATTCCCGATTTTTTAGGTAGCTCTTTACGCAAAATAAAAACAGAATAGAATAATCGTGCTCGACTATAGTTAATCCTTGGACTTCCTCTAATCAAGATTTACAAAAACTTAAATAGCAAAAACATGAGATTGATAAGAAATTTAATGCTATAAGAAAGAGAGGATTTAATGGGGGTTTCAAAGATTCCACTTATGCTTTCAAGAATTAAAAGCGAAGAATTCATTATAAAATATGCTAAAAATTATTTGATAGATAGATGATAAAACGAATTTGTCAATAAATTTCAGAATATAAAACAGAAAAGGAGAAACAATTGACAGATTAGTAGAAAAATGTGATTTTATTTTAACATTATTTAAATTTAAAGTGTTATCAAAATTTTAAGTCTTTTTATTAAAATTATACAAAAAAGGCGACACGCAATTCTGTTATCTACTTGTTTCTCTAATTAGACAAAGTCTCTTATTTCTCCCGCTCTCTCGTTTTTCCTTTCTCACACACATACACAAAATCGTTAACTTAATGCTTCGACAAAGGTAAAGAATAGTCAAATTCCCCGAAAGTTTTATCGCTAAAGACAAGATTGCGAATTGTGAGACACCCTGTACAAGTGCAGAGTAAAAAAGTTCGAATTAATTAGGATATGCTTCGTTCTAATAAAACGAGACCAGACGGCGACGGTGGTGGCGGTGGCGGTGGCGGTGGTGGCGCGGCGCGGTGCTTTCGTATAAATTTGAAACGCGCCCTGTAATTTGAGAAAACGTCCCGGGTCCTAAGCCCTATTTATGCAGCACTGAACCGGCTGTAAACCGTTCGTATTCACGATCCCCCTCTTCCTCCTCCTCCTCCTCTTCTTCCGCCTCCTCCTTCTCCTTCTCCTTCCCTTCCTCTGCACCCTCTTTCTCTCCCTACCGCGAAAGAGGCACGTCCTTTTCCCCGCGCGCGTGTTGTCCTTCCATCTATCGCTTCTCATCTTCAAAGAATTTCTCTTTTCCTTGCTCCCTTCGTCACTTCTTCTTCTCTCTCTCTCTCTCTTATTCCTTTTATCCCTCTGTGTGTCACTCTATCGCCGGCTTTAATTGCATTAAGGGTATTGTTGCGTAACGCAATTCTCAGTCAGTCGAATTATCGCTTGTCTGGCGGGAGAAAGACACGCGGCGCGCGTACGTTGCCGCTCTAATTATTGTGTCATCGAGAGTGAGAAGGAGAAATTATGATGAATGCGGGAATAGCGTCGAGAGAAGAATCGAATAGAATTATGTTAATCGTGAAATCTCCCTCGCGAAGGTTGTAATTTTTTTGATAATATATCGTACTATGAATCTTCTTAATTATTATTAATTATTATTAATTGCCAAGTTTTGTACTACCATCTTTGCGTGTGATATTTGGAGCAAAATTTTTGAAAAATTATTTACGAATTTCTCACTATATTGTCTACTTTTTATATTCGAATCAGAATATAAAAAACTTTGTATCAATCGTAAAGATTAAATTATAAATTATTATAAATTCTATTTTTCATTTATAAGATAATTACATAACAAACAGAGAATATTTAAATAAAAGTTAAAAATGGTATATAATTGATAATTGTAATATTTATATTTCTCTCGTCAGTAACATCAATGTCTGAGAAAATAGATTTTACCAATTTCTTCGGAAATTATGCGTATTACGTATATATCCGTATACATCCGGCTTAATAAAAGAGTTCCTTTCAATGTCAATAATGATACATTATTAGCATCTCCTAAGTAATTAATCATGCGCGTAAAGTGATTATCTGTAACTCACAAATCCGCTTGCCGTCTATTTAATTATAACAGTAACGAAAATGCATGAAATAGGAAAAACGAAACTCAGAACGTGTGCGCATATCCCCGAATTTATATGACATTCTCTTGAAGAGTGAATAAAATATGATTAATTAATACTTCATTCTTCTGTACTGCACGGGAATTTTGCAGAGAAGCAGAAGTTATAAAATTGATTATAATTACATTGTGCATAGTCGGTATCAGAATATGTATGGCTCTAATCTAAAGTGAATCTCACACAAATATATATATATATATATATATATATATATGTTTAATAATTTATATAATTATCTGCACAGCTTAGAACAAGAATAAATGCATAGAGATTATCTACCAAATGAAACAAATGTCTCAATGATTCTGGCGCCAATCATACTGTCAAATCTATCTCGCGCGGTATCAATTCAGCAATTATAATATCCCCGCTGAATCTCGCGCCGCAAACGACAATCCGGATTCACCCGTTCGCTCGCCCGCCTCGCGAGAAGGGGTCTTATCCGGCAATCGAGAAATTACATTACGCGAGGCGAGCGTGCGGGACGGGGAGAGAACTGGCACGGTGCACAAAAAGCACCGAATATCTTTCAGGAGCCGACGAAGGAAGCATCATTAATATCACCGGGACGATCAATCAAAAAGCCAAGCGGCGCGGACTCACTTTGGTGGACGTCGTACTGGGCCTGGTGCCGCCGATGCCTATGGCGTATATCTCCACCTCGTACCATTGGACGCCGGTCTCGCGGTCGAGCTGGGCCGCGGTGGACAGCACACCGGTCTTCGTGTCGATGTCGAATAGCCGATCAACTTGGGGCCCATCGCCGGCGGTCACGTTCGTCACGTAATACTCGAGCTCGATGTTGGATCGATGGCTACGCGCGCTCACGCGCAAAATACTGGTGCCGATCGGCTCGTTCTCGTAAACGTTGCCTTCAATCTGACCTCGGTGCTCCCAAATCGGCTGATCGTCGCCGTTCTCGCCCGGCACGATCAAGGTCACATAAGTCTCGGACGAGCGACGCTCCGCCTGGACCGCCTCGTCCGTCGCACGGACGCCTACCTGATATTTGGATGCTCGTTCGAGGAGGCCACCTTTCGAGAATGTTGGATGAGGTTTCATGGTGAGTTGACCGGTATTACGATAGATCCGGAACATATCCGAGTAGTTGACATTGGAACGGAGCAGCTCGTACGTCACCAAGCCGTTGGTGCTAGAGTCGAGATCGCGAGCGACTAGCTGCGTGACTGCGACCTCCTTGGTCGAGGATTGATGATAGTTGAAGTTGCCGGCGCGCAGATGCGGTAACACCACCGCCGACATGCTGACGAAGATCGGCGCGTTGTCATTGACATCCTCGACGATCACGATCACCAGTTTCTCGGCAGACAACCGAGCACTTGGCGGTTGCGCTTGATCAGTAGCGATCACCACCAGCTTGAAAGTATCCACCTCTTCGCGGTCGATCGGGAGTAACGTATGGATCACTCCGCTCGACGGGTTGATACCGAAACGCCGCACCTCGTCTTCTGGGTCCTGGCTGAGGATCGAGTAACTGACCACGCCGTTGTCCCCCGAATCTGGATCCTCTGCGGTAATGGTGACGATCGGCGTTCGCACGAGGATACCCTCGCGTATCTGACGTACTATTGCTGTATTTGGAAACACTGGCGGATTGTCGTTGGTGTCGATCACCTCGACGGTCAGACTGGTGACGGAACTGAGCCGTGGATGACCTCCGTCGCTGCATGTGACGTTGAGCGTGTAACGTACCAACTCTTCGTAATCGAGCGGTTTCTTCAGATACAGGATACCAGTCAGCGGATCGATATAGAACGTGTCCCTTTTATTACCAGCCGATATGATGAATGTCAACTCGCTGTTAGGCCCAAGATCGTTGTCGGTGGCCTTGAAACGCAAGAGCTCGGTGTTGGTCGGCGTAGTCTCCAGCACAGAGATCTTCGATTTGTTGTCGACGAAGCGCGGCACGTTATCGTTCTCATCGAGCACTTCGATATGGACGGTCGCGCTAGATGACAGTCGCGTTTCCAGACCGGCATCGTGCGCCACGACGGTCAGCACGTAGGTGTCGGATGTTTCGCGATCGAGCTCCTTCATCAACGAGATCTGCCCGGTGGCCTCGTCTATCATGAAATGACGGTGCTGATTGCCATCCTCCAGCGAATAGAACACATCGCCGTTCAATCCCTCGTCCACGTCAGTCGTGTACACTCTTAGCAGCTGTGTGCCGATCGCGGCACCCTCGCTCACCTGCACCCGATAGGGCAGACGCTGGAACTGCGGTACGTTGTCGTTAACATCGGTGATATAGATGGTGACCTTGACGCGGTCGCGCAGGCGGTTAACGCCATTGTCGGTGACAGTAGCTTCCAGATTGATATAGCTGCTGCCGGTATTGGTCACCAGGAGCTCGCGATCGAACACGCGCAACGATCTGACGAAACCATTCCTCGGGTCGACCACGAAATCCTGCTGGCTGGTTGGCAGCGAGAACATGAGATCAGCGTTACGGCCGACGTCGCGATCAGTAGCCAGCAGCTTGCCGACGAAGGTGTCGGGCGGCTCGTTCTCGCGCAGATGGAAGCTGAAACTGCTATTGATGAACTCGGGCGCGTTGTCGTTCTCATCAATCACGTGCACCACCACCGGGACCACGGAGCTCCGTGATGGGCTGCCTTGATCGGATGCGGTGACCTCGAGCGCGTAATAGTCCCGTTCCTCACGATCGAGCGTGTTCTTCACGTATAGCTGGCCATCCGGAAAGATGCCGAAGCGACCCTCCGCATTGCCATCGGTAACACTGTATAATATCCTGCCGTTGGCGCCGAGGTCCGCGTCTTGAGCTGTCAGCGAAAAGAAACGCTCGTTGACCGGAGTAGATTCCGGAAGCGAAGTCTCGTAGCTGGTCAGTCGGAAAACTGGTGTGTGATCATTGACATCTTCGATCGTTACGTGAATTTGGTGCTGGGCGGACAGCGGTTGCTTGCCGGAATCAGTCGCCGTCACTTCTAGATGGAGGACCGTACCGGGCGGCGCACGAATCGGCTTGTCCAGGTAAATGATGCCCGAGTTTTCGGCGACCCTGAATTGCCCGCCTGAATTCTGCGTCAAGGAATAAATGATTCTGGCATTGGCACCGGTGTCACGATCCCTGGCTCGGGCCAGGCACACCTCCTGCCCCACCGCCGCGTTCTCCTGCAACAGGATTTCGTCGCCTCGCTCACCCCTGGGAAACTTTGGCGGATTGTCGTTGATATCCTGCACGGTAATGTTGACGGTTGTCTGGCCGTACGCGAAATTGGCGTGCGCTGACAGTTGCAGGCTGTAATAGGCGACTCGTTCGCGGTCCAGGCAACCGGCGGTGCTGATGACGCCAGTATTCTCATCGATCCTGAAGTTGCCTCTAGGATCACCGAATACTATGGCGTAGCTCACCTTATCCGTGTTGTCGTACTGCGTAACATGTACCGTGCCGACCACCCGACTACTAGACGAAACGAAGTCGCAATCACCACGATCCTCAAAAACACGAAACTCGTAGCCGTTGTAAGTGTCGAATTCGAGATGTTCCAGATCCTCCTCGCGTATAATCTCCACTACGGCGTTCCTGGCTGCCACCCGCTCGCCAGTGTCCTTCGCTGAGATGGTCAATTCGTGAAGAGTCTCGTGCATAGCCCGCAAAGAACCTTGCAAAACAATCTCGCCTGTCCTTTCCTCCACCATGAAGAGACTCTCGCGGCCGGATTCCAAAGTATACCTCACCTGAGCGTTCTCCCGAGCATCGGCGTCGGTTGCCGTTACTTTACCTATCGTCGTACCTGCCGGAGCATCTTCGGAGATGGACATTAAATATCTCCAAGGATAGAAGATCGGCGAGTTATCGTTAATGTCCTCCAACGTCAGCACCACGGTAGCGGTCGAAGACTGTACCGGCGTGCCTTGATCCTTCGCTATCACTAGAATTCTGTACGTCGCTATGGTTTCCCGGTCCAGGGCGACCATGGTCGTCAGCTGACCGGTCAGGGCGTCCAATGCAAAGGTCTTGGGATAATCACGCGAGACGCTGGAGTGAAAGCTATACGCGACGCTTCCATTGGTACCCTGATCGTTGTCAACAGCCGTGAGAGTAGCTACCAGACTATAGGGCGGGGTATTTTCCGATAGTGTGACCTCGACGACGTTCTCGGAGAAGCGCGGAGCCTCGTCGTTCTCATCGAGAATCGTTACTTTGAGATGCGTGGACGCGTACTTAGTATTCGGACCGCCGTCTCGTGCCGATACGTGTAATTCGATGCTACCTTGGACCTCGCGATCCAGAGTAGCTATGGTTGTAACCAGGCCGGTGTCGCTGTCGATGGCGAACCAGCCCTGCTCATTACCCGAACCGAACTCGTAATAAATCCGCGCGTTTAGCCCAGAATCCGCGTCCGTGGCCGAGATGCTGGCGACGAAGCTGCCGATCGGTGCGAGTTCTGACAGCACCGCCGAGTACTCGCTTTGCTGAAATACCGGCTCGTGATCGTTGACGTCGTTCACATGAATCACGAGATAGGCCGTACCCGATCTGGGCGGCGTGCCCTTGTCAGTGGCAACCACCGTGAGATTATACTTGGGTATTTCCTCGCGGTCCAGCCGGCCGTCGACCCGCACGATATCGAAGCTCTCCATCTTCTCCAACCGAAAGTGGCCCAACTCATTCCCGGCGCGTATCTCCACACTCGTCTTGCCGTTCAGACCCTCGTCGTCATCGATCACCGACACCGCCGCGACGATCGCGTCCTTGGCGGCGTTCTCGTCGACGGTAGCGAAGCGCGCATTCTGTGGAAAGTAGCTGAATTTAATCACGGGATCGTGATCGTTCGCGTCCAATACGTTCACCGTCACGTAAGTACGACCGTCCTGCCTGGGCGAACCGTGATCGCGAGCAAAGACCGTGATGACGCAGCTCTTGGGGCAACCGCCGCTTGGTTGTTCTACCGTGCAACGTTGTTGAGGACATTTCAACGGCTCGGCTGTCGTGATCGTGCCGGTCTCTGGGTCAATTGTAAACTTGCGCTCATTATCCGGCAGATAATACGTCAGCTTGGAATTGTCCTCCGAATCCTTATCGGTGGCGTGGACCGTCAGCACCTTCGTGCCGACTGGTGCGCTCTCGTTCAACGCCACCACGTAATCGCTCTGTTGGAACACGGGCGGATTGTCGTTCACATCCAGCACCGTCACGTTCACCAGCAGATAACCCAGCCGTGGTGGTCGGCCGCGATCGCGGGCGCAGACATTGAGCGAATAGAATTCCACCTGTTCGCGGTCCAGCTTGCCGGTAGTCTCAAGGTGCAGGTACGATGTCTCACCTGTAGGGTTTCCAGTGACCTCCAGACGGAACTTGCCATCCGTATTGCCGTCAACGATAAAATAATCGTCCAGCACGCCGTTCTCGGGTGTATCCCGATCGGTCGCGGCGTCCAACAACAGCTTGGTACCCGCTACGGCTGATTCCGAGAAGCTAACCGCGATACTGGGCTCCGGAAATTCTGGGTTGTTGTCGTTAATATCGAGCACTAGAATCCGCACCTCGATCGGATAGGTCGGCTGACTCGAGAGCACGACCAGATCGAACCGATCACTGCTGAGAGCTTCACGATCGAGAACCTTCGCTGTTCTTATTTTGCCGGTCTCCGGGTCGAGCACGAATTCCTGGGGCGGCTCGTTGAACCTGTAAGTGAAGTCAGGCTTCACCGGTATCGTGCCGACCAGGGTGCCCTTGGGCTCGCCTTCCCTGATCTCGAGCTGGACTCGCGTGTCGACCGCTCTGCTCTGCATCGCCAGGCCCATCGCCCCGGCGCTATCCTGCGGCAACATCGGTGACCTTCGTGGGACTAACCGCGTGACCCTTTGAGGTAGGTTGCGCGAGGTAAAATAGTCGTCGAACCCAGCCACGGCCACCGTCGCCGTCGCCGCCACCGCCGCCGCCGCCGCGTCCTGGCCGACGACCTGGCCGCCATTTTGGTCCACCACCGACAGTAGTCCCAGGAGCAGGGTCAGGATCATCGATCCCCTTATGATCATCTCTTCGGTCTCGCCGCGACACGCCCACCTGCCTTAGCCAAATCTCGGCTCACGGTGACTTGTCGTAGGCGTAAAATCGCGCGCTCCGATTACGCACTACCTGTCGTTCTTCCTCCTCATGGTCGTGGCCGGCGATAATCCTGTCGTCTTCCGCGTCTACGTACCGGCGCATTGCACGTATCGCGACATTCCACCAAGAATGGAGATTAATCGCGCGCGACGACGTGAACCGCCGTCCCCTGTCCGGCGATGCGTCGCATTTTTTTTCCCCACCGGGACCAAAGTCCCGATTTAAACCCGGAGCTGGTGGGTGCTTTCTTTTCCGTCTTTCTTCCTCTTCTTCTTCGTATCTGTTTCTCTGTCTCTCTTTCTCTCTCACATACACACTTTCTTTCCTTATCTTTCTCTCTCTCTCTCTTTCTCTTTCGTTCTCTCCTCCTTTACTTCTCCTTTCCTTCGCCGCTAAAAGTCAAGTGTATACGAGAGAAGACTTCACCCGGCAGAAGGGGCAGTGACCCGCCGAGAGCCGCGCCTCGCGAAACGCGCGTCTGCGGATGTTCGCGAATACTTCGCGAGCGCGAGAATGAAACGTTTCGGACGATTTTTCGATCAGCAATTCGCAATCGCGATTTCGAATCGAGAGAAGGTATATCTTCTTTCCTCCTCAAGAATGGGTTCTTCTCTCAAAAGATTGCTCTCCTTTTTCAACTCTTGCGCTTCGAGCACACGCATCTACGTCACGTGCTTCGCTCTGTCATATTGCATTTTCAGGACGACGAATTCCTTTCGAAATGGAATGATTGGCAACGTTAACGAACAACGATTTTTCGTGACGATCTTTATATCTCGCTATATCTCAAACACTGAGATCCCTCAGAATCCACGGATTTATCACTAAAGCCCGGATTAAGCCCGACAGAACCTCGCGACGTAAACACTGCACAGAGACGAGGACGCACCAGAGATCCAATATCCGGAACACAAAACGAAACGAACGATTCACGATTTATGTGTATCCTCGCGAGAGTACCGATTTAATCGAACGAGTTTAGTGACCGAACCCCGAGGAACTCGAATTCGCGATTCACTCTCGAGTTCGCGCGCCTCGCCGCCGAACTCACGCTATCTTTCGCGGAAATTGTCAGGAAGTTCACGCGATCGCGATGCGGCGCTCGGTCGGGTTCGCCGCTGATCGCGGAGCAATCTCACGAGCAACACAACGGGTTCGTGTGCGCGCGCGCGCGCGCCTCGGGGTAGGCGTTATCGAGGGATGAAGACGAGCCGCGTGCAACCGCGGAAACAATCGGCAGCGGAGCCGAAAAAAAAAGAGTAGGAGAGGGTGAAGGGTTAAGGGACGAATAACGAAACACGACGAGGCCACGACGAGCGCGACGTAAGGCCCCAAAAGAACGCGGAACGTGAGCACCGCGGAGAAGAATGTCGCCTTCCCGAGGGCTGACCTGACTCGACTGAACCGAGCCGGTCCCAGAACCTCGCCGCTGCCAGGAGAGGCATTCTTCGGGCTGGCTGACGCCGTCCCTCTCCGATTCATCGGGCCCTCTTTCTCTCCCTCCCCTGCTCTCTATCCTTCGCCCGTTCCTCGCATCTCCGTTCTTCGTCCTTCTCTCTCTTTCTGTTTAAACCTTTACTCCGACCACCCCGCGCAAGGCCTATCGATATCACCTTCTCTGTCCGCTCTGAGAAACACCGTGGCTCTACCGCGTCTCCTCGCTCCACGATGGGCCCCACTCGCTCTTTCCAACAACATCGCTCCTTCCTTTTCCGTTTCTCTCTCCCTCCCTGTCTTTCGTGTCAAGAAACGTTCGATCTCCTATCCCGGTTACTCTTTCCTTCCCCGAATGCTCATTTTCTTCGCTCTTATTCTCTTTCACATCTCCCATCCTCCTCCCTTCTCGTTCTCCTCTCCCCTACCATTTTGCCATACCACTACCTATATCAGAATACGGGTATCTTTGTCCGCGACGCGCGTTAGGCCAGTCTCTCTCTCTCTCTCTCTCTTTCCCACTCGTTCTTTCCCGGGGCCCGCTGCTTCGATCGTGGGCCCCGTTCTCTCTCCTCTCCCACCCTCTTACTCGACTCACCTCTCCAGCTTTCCCTCCTCGCCATCTTCCACGCGCGATCATTCCACCTTCGACTCGCCTCGCGCATCCCGCCGTCGTCTCGCTGAGATATTCTCCCTTTTGCCCTCGAGGAACGAGCAATGCGGAGGCTCAGGTATGCAAGATGGCCGCCACACGCTGGAGCCCCGTGCGACGAGGACGTTGCTTCGCGTTGACGGGAATGAGAGAGATGTAGCGAGAACAAGAGGGACGTCAAGTGGACCAGAGAAAGAAAACGAGAAAGGGAGGAGAGAAAGAGAGAGAGAAAGGAGGAAGAGAAAAAAAGAGAAAAACGAAAGAGGAAGAAAGAGGGAGTAAGAGTAATACGAGGACCGATGAGAAAAAGGGCGACGAGGATAGAGAACGAGAGATGAATAATGCGTGGGGGAGGAGGGGGGTGGAAATACCTAGAAGGGCGAGCAGGGGGACACCCCGACTTAGGGGATGCAGACTGCCACGCGGAGAAACATCGGGATATGTCAGAAGGGAGGGGCGTGAAAGGTGGAGCGGGGGTGATCCGCGGGATCCGGACTCACGGCTTGTGTGTAGATATATATCCGCGGGCCTATATGGTCACTTTTATAATCCGTTACCGCGATTGAGTGTTCCGCTCGATTCTTTCGATCCTCTTTCCTTCGAACTAATTCACCGTCTCGGGTTTCCCCCCCCCCCCCTCTCTCCCCCTCTCTCTCTCTCTCTCTCTCTCTGTCTGTCTGTCTACTTTCTTCCCTCCTTTTTTCTTACATATCTACGTAGTTTACTCGCTCACTGGACCGTTGATTTCCTTTAATCTAGTTTACTAGGTACAATACCGTACGGACATGTAAGTTGGTTGGTGCTTTGATAATGTTGAAACCTACAAAAGCTACAACCAAAATTATAAAAAATTATAAAAAATAAGATAATAGAGTTGCCATGCTACTCTTCGTGGCAACCAAGTATTCATGCCACGCAAAAATGCACCTCACTGCAGAATTCGTTCGCGCACATCTGATTTTGCAGTGGTCGCATATGGTCCAGTTTCTGGTTTAGAATGAAAAGCAAAGTTCGCAGAAAGGAGATTATGATAATAAAGGAATCGATTAGTAATTATAGTGGTGATAGTCAATTCAAACAAAAAAAAGTTGAGAATAATACGTGATTAAAAACAATAAAACTCCATCACGAAATAAGTCAATAATTCAAGAATCAATTGTTATTAACATTTGGTATATTTTTATTTGTGACTTTAATTCAACTAATAAGTAGTGCATGTGAAGAAATCAAGGTACTGCACAAGTCAAACCTTCTCGATTTACTCATTTTAAACTCCAAGTCTAAAAACCGAACGAATCTGTAGAATTTAATTTGTTGCAAAAATCGAGAAAAATAACAATAAGTGAACCGATTTGCACATTTTTCCGATCATCCTCGTTCCTTTTATCCCGCGGAACAAGGGACAGATCGCTTTGGACCAACTCGCTTTACGTGGACTTAGATAAGAATGAGTACGAGTGTTCTCTCGAATGAGTGAACGTCCGCTGAAGAATAGGGAGAGACGCGATTCCTTATCGGATGATGGACGAGTCGCCTTCTTCTCGGCTTGAAATATCGATGAAAATTCGAGAGGGTTTTATTGGAGAGGGTAATAGGTGACAATGCGCCAAACGACGCGTTTCGCGCTATCTTTAAGTTTATAGGACTCCAAAGTAAAATGCATCCGTTCCACTCTTGAGTTGCGTTAAGCCTCCGAACGTCCGTCTTGTCAAGAAACCGTGCGACACGCACCGACAAGTAATTTTCTGCGCGTCAAATAATTCATAAAGCCACGCGGAAAATACGTAAAATATCAGTTACGAAGAATTATGAACAACGAGAAATAGTTAATTACAAAGTACCTCATCTCATGTACGTATCACTTATCTTATTTAATCTCAATTAAGTAAACTTAAGAATCGAGAAAGATTTATATTTATTATTTATTTCTCATAATTCTTAGGTACCTTGGGATGGCTTTCGATTTATATATAGTTTACAATACAATACGATACCTACTATATTAATTTTAACTATCTTTAACTTAATATTTATTATTTCATAATCCTGTACTAACTAAAAGATTTTTATATTAATAGTATGATGTAATTATATGCAACTGAAAAAATGTTGAATCTACTTAAAGATATAAGTAGAGAGGTATGAGAAAATTTCGATATTGTAGGATTTGTATTTACAAAATTAATACGTATTTGAAAAATTAATCAATATAATCTATTAGTAGATAATAATAAATTGTTTAAAACTCTGTTAAACTTAAATGATTTTTATCTTAGGCCAAAAAAATAATCTTAGTATTTTCTTTAGAATTTTTTAAATAATCTACATCATTTTTATTATTTCTTCTCAGATAAGATTTTGTATTATTCCAATAAATTTCTTCACAAGAGGTGAAAAATATAATGATATAATTAAAATTATGCAATTAACGATAATGTGATAAACGATAGTATATAATTGCATTTTAAAGCAGGAAGTAGTTTTTAAGCAGCAAATGCAGCAATCGTTTGTTATCCGAGAGAAATAAATTGAAATTTGGTTCGTAGACTTGTCTCTCGAAGGATGCAACACAGGACGTTGAATTGCATGATTAATATCCTGTGTTCCACCGCGATAACGCGCACGTGCGTACGCCATTTGTTGTTCCGCGATATTAGAAAGGTCACGACCCAGGGTAGGAGGCGGTGGAATCCCGACATTTATCCGGATATAGAAAAGCCGTGACACTTTGTGCGCCGAAATCATCAATTACATTAATCCTCGCATATATCGAGCTTCTCGAACCCTGAAGATCGCGATATACGATCTTTTGATTGAGGAGAGTGATTATACGAATCCTCGTATCCGTATCGTTGACAATATCACGCAAACTCTGTTGAACTATCTATAATATGATAAATAAAATCTATTTATTTAAATATATAATTATATATTTATATACTTGTATTTATATATCATTTATATAAATATATAAATATATAGTGTGCTCATATGAATAATATTTTTCGAACACTCACGAATGTCCGTGATACGTAATATTTTTTTTAAATATAATAAAAAGCACTTATATATATATATAAATTATTGTATAATATATACATATGTTTGCAATATTAATACAATACAAATTAATATTAATTCAAAAACCTTACAAAATTTATATTATATCCAACAATTTTATTATATTTATATATTTTATTATACAATGCAAATAATTATTATGTCTATTATTTTTTTCTATATATATCTATATATATATCTATATATATATAATAATATTTGGTCACGAACTCAAATAATATCTTACATAACTCAGACATTTAAATTACTATCTTTTGCAGGAAAAATTCGCGGCATAAGATTTCATAGAGCGGACTGACAGATTGCCACATCGCATTGCAGAAATCCGATCGTTCTCCACGTGGGTGTACAAAATTGTCGACATCGAGCACGATTACTTTTCGCAATAGAGCGAACGAGCTTCTCGAGGATACAGGGTAAGAAATTGGCAGAATTAAATGTCCTAATAGCTTATTTTGCGGGCGTGCCTCGCCATAAATACGCAGCCGATCGTTTTGCTCCTGTTTTTGGCCTCGTTTACTTATACGATTTCGTAAAAAAATAAGAATTACAAGAATTTATTTATACAATTGGATTTATAATATTATAAATGTGTTCGCGTTTATAAAAATTAATTTTATGAGTATTATAAATATAATTTATAATTTATAATTCGTAATACGTTATATAAAACACGCGCGCGCATATATAAATATGCGTTCGTGTGTGTTTATATATATATATATATATATATATATATATAAATTATTTTAAAATTTTATTAATTTTTTAAAATTCTGTACCAAAGGTTTTATAGAGACAGAAGAGGTTATAGAAAAGTAGTCAATGTAGTCATACTAGAAAATGTATCAAGAGACACGGTAGTATAATTTACTCGATACTAAACGTAGAGAAATTTGTTATTGCTATTAAGAGAGGACGCGACTATTTTGTACCAAAACATTTGTTGGATTATTCTATAAAAATAAAGTCAAATAAGAAAAATAATCATGACAATATTTATATAATATTTTAATAGAAATGTCTTATCACTGCCACAATAGAATTTGATAAAATTTGCCCTGCACAGCTAGTACGAAGGAGATTTATTATTCTACTATTTGCCTGCTCCTTTGACTTACGCGTGGGCTTTGTACTGAAAAATCTATATCCTATAAATTAAACAATCTTTACTTCGATTATAAATATTCCTGTTAGGAGTATCTAAGAAAAATAAATAAATAACTAAAATTCTCTTTAAATAATATTCCAACACATGACGTATTATAAGTTTTATTAACAAAATGCACATCTTTGTGTGTGTTTAATACAAAAAGATAATTATTTAAAAAAGGTATCAATAAATTATACTATTATTTGGGTGCGCCATACGCATCTGGCATCCTTTCTATCGTAAATCTGTGTTGAGATACATACATTATTGGCACACCCGGTATCTTCCGTATTCTTCTTTTCAAATCTTTATCATTTGTTGCAACGATATAGCACTTATGCTGAAATAATAATAACACACAATTTAATTTTATCGTCAATAAGATAAATTTAGATTACATCTAAAAGAATTGTCACTAAAATAACATCTTGCAACTAATACTTACTTGTGTTACTCTGTTCACAAGACAGTCATCTGCATAGGTTCCCTTATGCATACATTTTAACCTTTCAAATCGCGGATCCTTGATGATTTTCAATGCCAATTTATACTTCTGTCCAAGCTTCTCTAACTCGCCCATTACGCAATCCGTTATATACGGCGTACACTTTGCATAGAGGCATTCCATCATATTCTGTATTATATCTAATTTGTTTTTAATGGAGAAGTTAATGAAGTTTGTGTCAATTAAAATATGATACGGCGGTCCAAGCTGCATGTTATATTGGAAGAATAATGCGGAGGATTGTTGTGGCCTGAAAGAAACAAATACTTTATGATAAATAAGAATTTCATAATATCATGCAGAAAGATACTTCTGTTAGAAATAATATAAAATGTCAGATTATATATAATATTACTTACACTTCTGTGACTTTTATTTTAGTCTTATCTTCTTTTGGAGTTTTCTTTGACGGCAGCCGCTTCTCTGGTTTTCTATATAAAAAAAAATCCGTTTTAATTTTTTTTGCATATGATTTACAAAGTTATAACAGTGACTTGTCAAAGATCATATGGTACATTAACTTACATTCGCGAATCGCTCAGACTAATCATCCTTTTCATCTGAGCAAATCTCTGCATCACAACTTTACGCGTTTTCTTATTTTTCCCCTATAACATATAATTTCATAACAAGTATTATACGATAATATAATTAGTAATATGATAATATATTCATTTAAAATAAAACAATGAAATCGCAATCTCTTATATTCTCACTTCATAGGACATGTTCAAAACGACAAACCAGCTACTTGCTTGCCGAGCGAATGTTATGTACAAACAGCAACTTGTACATCGTTGAGTATATTTTCGACATAATATAATCTAAGAGAACATTTATATTAACATTTATTGTAAAAACCAGCAAACGTAACTTACAATAAACTAAATCTCTAGCTAGAAATCTGTAGCTAGAAGATAAAATACGTTATGCAACTAAGCTAATTGCTACAACAAAGCAATTATCATTTAATGCATTTGCTCACCGAGCAAGTTAACTGATTTGCTGACTTGAACCCATATTTTCTGTATACCCTCCAAAAATGCATGATTAATGTCTATTTCTATCAATGTAGATTAACTTTAATCTCAATTTAACTTGCTTTTTATCTTTTCCTAGTTCTTAGAACTGAGTTTTTCTGATCAAGATTAAACTGCATTGATGGATTAACTACATCGACAAGTGGACATTAATAATTTAATTTATCTGGTAGAATGTACATTTACTTTTTTAAAAAATGCTCTTACCATTATATTTTCTGTGAACGTGTGTGTATCCTTAAGTCCTTAAATCCTTTTTTGGAAAAATTATAACAATGAATTCAAAATCCTATAATCAAACAAGAATCATATAGTTAGAAATTTTGTGATTAACAATTCTACGTTTAATTAATCACTGATTAAGTTAATCGAAATTTAGTCGGAGTTACAGAAGAATTTCACTGTATAAAAAGCACATGTGAGCGACCAATGTTAGGTTAGGTTAGGTTAGAAGCAGAAGAGAGCATTTTTTTAGAGTTTTACTAGACGGTGGAAATTTCAGGTGCCTTCAACTTATCCATAGGACCATATAAATCTCTTTTCTTCCTTACTTAATGTACATACTTAGTCTGTTAACTGAAAAATCTGTTTGGAGTAATGCAACCTGAAGGAGAAGTCGAAGACACCTAAACCCGAAGAAAGCTCCAAAAAGAAAGGAAACAGAATAGAAAATCTTCCTGTTTGTAGCAAAAGAGAACAAAAAGAGGAAAAATTAGAGTAAAAATTCAACACAACCTCTGTATGTATACTGCTATTTTCCCTAATGAACAATTGTGAACTTGTGAGCGGTATGTGAGTTGTGGTTGTGAAACTGCTGGAAACTGCCGCACATGCGCGGCTGCGCGGCGTTTCGGTTCGGCGGCGAATCCAGCAAACTATAAAATTGTTCTAAATACATTTTGGAACGTATTTTTAAACATGCATCGCACATTTACAATTATATTTCACAACACGGAGCAAAAATTGATATGTCACTGTAGAAATTTCGATTACGTTATAAAAATAAAAAAAAATGGAAATTATTCAGATTGATGGATTATGGATTGCAGCCGCGACGTACTCAAAGAACTCTCGAATTAAGCGAGTCGTTTAATTGTTTTGCAAAGAGATTTATTCTGAACTGATTACTCGTGGTAACAAATGAACATTTACATCTCCATGCGATTTCACTAGAAGAATAGGAGATTGACCTTTTTTTATCGCTACTATACATACACTAACATTAACATTTACTACACTAACATTTAGACATTTAGAGGATACAGAGTAATAAAGTAATTAATGTTTATCTGTTACAGAAGAGATTGGAATGAGGAATGCATATTTATAAATTGAAAACGATTTAAAGATTTCCTTCAAACGAGGGCGAACGAAGGCGGAATCGGGACAATGGATTTACGTGCTCGTACGCGAAACAATTCTGAATATTGAGTGAATAAGTTTCCCCTCGAACGGGAGCGAACAGATGGCTCGAAAAAGAGGCGGGAATCGAAACAATGGATGCGCGCGTCATGCCGTCACGACGCATACGCACGCGACGAGTATCGCAGCAAGTATCGTATGTATGTATACATACCATACATACGTGTGTCACGTCACACACTATCAAAAACGCGCACGCGTGTGCGCGGTATGGAGTACAGGAAGGGGTGACGGAATACGGAATCAGGTGTGCATCATTCTGCGGAGTCGTGGCGGTAGAGTTATTTCGAGTTGAGTTTACGGTCATTCGGCGCATCATCGTCAATCATTGAAATCGGAATATCCGCTTCCGTCACGGAGTCGCGACGCATGTAGACTATTGTAGACGAGAGCTGAACGGTCGAGGGGCGGAGAAGAAAGGGGACTAAGGGGAGCGCGAGAGCGTTACTCGAACCCGGCTTCGTAACCGAAACCGACCGACCGTCGTCCCGATCGATTCGCTCGTCGACGCGACGCGCGGAGGCTTCATCGTCGTTCCATCCGCACCACCATGGAGGCCCTGATACCTGTGATAAACAAGCTGCAGGACGTGTTCAACACCGTCGGCGCTACCGCGCTGCAACTGCCGCAGATCGTCGTTCTGGGCACGCAGGTTAGCCGGAGTCTTTCTTCGGCCCGCGGCCAAACCGCGAGCCGAACCGCGATAACAATGAAACGGCAGGTCCGCCCCTTTCACCTGGACTTTGCTACCCTCGTTGCTCTCAAGATTAAACAAAATATGTGACTTCTTTGGTAAGAGAGAAAATTCCGACAGAGAGAGAGAGAGAGAGAGAGAGAAAGGGTGCAATCTCTCGAAAGGAGCGGATCTAGCGACGGTTGGACATTTGAATTTTGTCGATGAGCATTCGAATTTTTTTTCTTTGTTATGAACAATGTAACAACGACAGGCTATTCATTGTAAGTTGCTTACTGCCCGTCGGTGTTAGAATTGAGGAAAATAATATCGTAGCTTGCTTGAATCTTACGGTTTCCTTAAGCATGTTTACTTTTACTTATTTATAATCAGTTAAGAGGCAAATATTGCGATTTGGATAGCCACTCTCAAAGAAATTTTCATCTTATTCTAATCATGAAGAGTCGAAGTGACTCGAAAGATGATCCAAGGGTATTGTCGAATACAATGTAAAAGCAAATATTGAATTTTTCAGAGTTCAGGGAAGTCATCTGTAATAGAGAGCTTGGTGGGCCGTTCTTTTCTACCACGAGGGACTGGTATCGTCACGCGACGTCCGTTAATACTGCAACTTGTATATACACCGAGAGACGATCGAGAACACAGAAGCGCCGAGAATGGCACCCTGGACTTGGAGGAATGGGGAATGTTTCTGCACACAAAGAACAGGATTTACAAGGATTTCGATGACATTCGCATGGAGATCGAGGCCGAAACTGACAGAATGGCTGGGGCTAACAAAGGAATCTGTCCAGAACCAATTAATCTTAAAATATATTCGACGTCTGTTGTTAATCTGACGCTTATAGACCTACCTGGTATTACGAAAGTGCCAGTAGGTGACCAGCCGGAAGACATCGAGTCTCAGATACATGAGCTCGTATCAAAGTACATATGTAGTCCGAACTCTATAATTTTAGCAGTTGTCACTGCCAATACTGACATGGCTACAAGCGAGAGTTTAAAGTTCAGCAAAGACGTTGATCCAGATGGCAGACGAACGCTGGCAGTCGTTACAAAATTAGATCTCATGGATGCTGGTAAATTTTTCACAGTTTCGAAATTTTTTTTGCAGTTTCGAATTTGTCAAAGACAACCGATTGTATGCATACATTGTTTCTCTTCTTTTAGGAACTGACGCTATAGATATTCTATGTGGCAGAGTCATCCCGGTAAAATTGGGTATTATAGGTGTAGTCAATCGTTCTCAACAAGATATAATGAATAACAAGAGTATTAAGGAAGCGTTGAAGGATGAAGCCACATTCTTGCAACGTAAATATCCAACTTTGGCTAACAGAAACGGCACTCCTTACTTAGCAAAAACTCTTAATCGTTTACTTATGCAACATATTAGGGATTGCTTGCCAGAGTTGAAGGTAAGAATATTAATAGTAGAATTGTCGAATTATAGGATATAGCTAGAATCTAATCTACTAAAGTAAGCATAATTTGGTAGAGCTTGTGTTTTTTGAAAACAGAACAGAGTAAATACAATGGTCGGGCAGTATCAAACCTTGCTTAATTCCTATGGTGGAGATGTCGAAGACAAAAGCCAAACCTTGCTACAGATCATTACAAAGTTTGCAAACAGCTATTGCGCTACGATAGAGGGAACGGCGAGAAACATAGACACCACCGCGCTGTGCGGCGGCGCTCGCATTTGCTATATATTTCACGAGGCGTTTGGTAAAACGCTCGATTCGATTAATCCACTGGCAGATCTCAGTAAAGGTGACATATTGACCGCTATTCGCAATGCAACCGGTCCAAGACCGGCTCTCTTTGTGCCAGAAGTTTCTTTTGAATTATTAGTTAAACGGCAAATACGGAAGTTGGAGGATCCTTCGTTACGGTGCGTAGAGCTTGTGCATGAAGAACTGCAGAGTATAATACAGCATTGTGGTACTGAAGTGCAACAGGAGATACTACGTTTCCCTAAACTGCACGAGCGTATCGTCGATGTTGTTACGCATTTGCTACGTAGACGACTCCCACCTACCAATTCAATGGTAAACTAAAATATTTACTGAGTATATGTATCCGTAACACGTTCTTCATACTCACATGCTGATTTGATTTCTTAAATAAAAGGTAGAGAACTTGGTTGCCATAGAATTGGCATACATTAACACTAAGCATCCCGACTTTCACAAAGATGCAGCATTTGTGTCATCTTTACTGAAAGATACTGATGTAGATCACTTGAGGCACAACAAACGATTAACTTCAGCATCCAATACTATAATTACTAATGATGTAAGTAATAATCTCCATTTAGTGTCGTTTTTGTGAAATTTATACCAATTTATTATTTTTTAATTCATTGATAAAGTTATTCTTTCAAGAATAATGATTTAAATGTGGATAGCAGCGTTTGCATGTCCATCAGTTTATTCAACATTTTATCCGAGCCACTTCTACTTTCTCACGTCGTGTTTGCATCTAATAGTAAAATGTATTTGAAACAGATTGTAAAATCAGTCAATAATCAAGATGAGATGAACTCTGTTTCCAATCAGATTAGAGAACAGCAAGGACAGCAAAATAACTGGCTGTTAAGTAGCTTACTACAGGGAAGAACGGAGTCAACTAGTTCCGCGGATGGTTCTCCAGTCAGAATGCGTGAAAATAGTAACTCTCCGAATCCAGCGATCGAACTGCAAAAAGCATCCCCGCAACAAAAACCAGTAAATCTGCTCCCGGCGGTACCGATACAGACATCTCGAAAACTTAGCGATCGTGAGCAACGGGATTGTGATATTATCGGTAAGGAAGTGTATCGTATTAAAAGTCATAAACATTATGTTAACAAACTTTAATTTCAATTTTCTTCTTTCTTTCGTTGTTCGCAGAAAGGCTCATAAGATCATACTTTTATATTGTACGGAAATCCATCCAGGATAGTGTACCAAAGGCTGTTATGCATTTCCTAGTCAACTATGTGAAAGATAATTTACAAAGCGAACTTGTCACACATTTGTACAAATCAGATCAGGCTGAGGCCTTGTTGATTGAGAGCGAACACATCGCTGTTAGGCGTAAAGAAACAGCAGACATGCTTAAGGTACGTAAAAAGTTAACTACAAAGCCTCTTTATAATAATTGATCTCTAACGATTGCTCTGATTCAACAGGCATTGACTCAAGCAGGTCACATCATTAGCGAAATTAGAGAAACGCACATGTGGTAATCAAATGCCTAAACCGTCATCACCGGATTCTAGTTGAATTTATTATTACATCTCTGTGTTTTAATGAACTGAGTTAAAGGATGTACTTTACCAATGTATATGATGAAATTAATGTACATAACTCTTGTCTTTCTCACGCAAGTAAGGTATATGTATCGCTATTGAGAATCAATGGTCCTGATATGTTACGTCACCCGTTTTTATAGTATGAGCATGAAGGAGGTATATCGTACATAAAATACGCGTTTGTGCAACCGGGTTATTCGATTCAAAAGATGTAATTCGGGCTCGATTTTTTATTATCTTCAGCATTCGATATAGATGCTGATGACCTATGATTATAAATCGTTGAATTGATTAACTCTTGAATAACTCGTTTTGTATCACGCATTTTACCACGGAATTATGTTTCTTAATTACTTAGTCTAATGTTGCATTGCCTCGCGTTACAGTGATCGTAAATGAGAGTGTAATTGAGGATCATTGTTCTGTGTATTTTTTAGTTATGCTGTTTGCATAATTTTTCTTTCCAGGAATAGAAAACTGGAAGTATCTATTCCTAGTGGATTGTGCCGCGTTTTTCACAAAGCTGTAGAATAAATTGAAATAATTTCACTATAAATAATTGTTATAATAATTGTTATAAACCGACTAAGGGAGTATTACACAGAAATAGAGCCAAGAGAATTGTAACACTGGACGATACATTGTTCTGTTTTGATACCTTCGATATTCGGTTCAGCCAAGTGTTTGTTGACAAAGTCCGCGTGCTCGAATAGCAGAGGCATCGCGTCTCTGTAATTCCCCTCATACATTTTCGCGATGGCGCTCAGTCTCTTTTGAATCGATTTTTGAAGTTGCTTCTCGATTCTTTTCAAATCAATCATTTTCTCACATTTGGCGCACCGATGATTCGTCACCTTCGCGTTCGTGATCGAGAGACCCGTCGATTCCGAACACGCCGCGCACTTGTAACACGTCGTTTCGGGTAGCGGAAGTTTCCAGTTTTGCTTGCAGGCGTCGCATCCGCACAGGAATCGATACTTCTTCCACAAGAACTCACGCCTGTTCAATTTGCTCTCGCTGAGAAAGTGAGGTCCGTAGCAATCGAGTATCTCGCATCCTTTGCCGATGAAGCGCAATGCTCTGACCACGACTATTCCTGTAACGTGAGAATTAGAACTTCGTTCATCTCTTCGTCATGTCCCTGATCGCTTACCATTTGGATAGGAGTGGCGAACCACGTTGGGATAACAGCTGTGATTCACGAGACTGACCGTGGTGTAAATCGCCGCACCGATGTTCCTAGGCTCCCAGACACGCGTTGCCTCGTCGTGGACGTTCTCGATGATCTCATATGCGTTGCAGTTAATCGCCTGCAAATGGTGCAGCATAGCCACAGCCAACGAAACGAACGTCTCCCTCGTGCAGACGACGTCCAGTTTGTTCAAAACCGAGATCAAGCATTTCGCAAGAAAGATCGCCTCGATGGCGCGAATGAGATTCACGCTATGTTCGACATCGGCGCAATGAGTCTCCAGTTGAAACACCGTTCGGTAATCGAGAGGACTATACGTCTCCTTCGATCCCAAGTCCGCGCATTCCTTGCTAATGTCATCATCTTTATCTTTTGCGTTACCGTTAGCGTGATATCGTAGGAAATCAGGATTCAAAACGCATGTAGCGCTGTTTGATAGCGATAACGCTTGTGTGACCGTCATACGATAAGCCAGCAAGAGATAGGATGTTTGTTGACGTTCGTTGTTTGAATTTTTGAAAAAGTAATTGAATACTGAACACTCGTATCGGTGATACTTTTCCCACGCTTCTTTGCGACACGTTTCTGTGCAAAAGGCCACCTGGAGAACGCAATATAAAATTTAAATCCAAAGATCTGTAAAAATTGCAGGAAGAATCACCGAAAGTCAAAATAAAATAAACAAATTAACGTGGAAACTAACAGGCAACGGTATGGGTAATCAGATCTGGCGCTATGTACATGGCGCGTGGCATGCGCAAATATAAATCATGCGCTCTACTAACTGTTTGGCAATCACGGCACGGAATTCTAACGCTGTCTTCTAATTTAAGTGTGGCATGGCAATGCAAACAATTCCTGCCGAGAGCCGGTGGATCCGTGCTAAAGGAAAACGGCCGGTCGACAATGAGTACAGTCCCCGGTCTGATGTCTCTTGCAGCCACGAGGTGCCGGCCCCTGGTCTCGTCGAATCGCAGCTCAACGCCATCCGAACAGCTCGTGAGACAGCTGTGCGGCTTGCCGTCGACGGTGGGCAATGCGCTGCTGGAAGAAGAACGGGAAGAGGAAGAGGAGGTGGAAGATGTCCTTCCACGGGCGCCGCGTTTCCTGGAGGACGTGGCTTCCAACTTCCGGGAACACTCCCGCTCTAGTTGAAGGCATTCCTTCCTACGTTGCACGAAGTACTTAACGTTCTCCGCGGAGTTGTCATAGAGACTCGCGGAAAGCGCCAACATGCAGTCGCAGTCTCGCAGGCAGCTCGCGTAAGCGCGCAGGCTGTAGAAGCGTCTAGCGCGCTCGCAGATCGCATCTAGAAACACTCTACTGTTCGCACCAGCCGCAAACAGTGCTTGCGTGAGAATATTACAGGTTTTAATCTCCTCGGCGTGCTCGTCTCTGGGCTCCATCGTCGCCCCGAACGATCTCTCGTACAGCCGCGCGGCCTGCGCATCATCCTTACCCTCGTATGAATCACCCAGTTTCAAGTCCGCCACATAGGGCATTTCTACAAGCATCCCGATCATTCCTCGCCTGTCGCCCGACGCGGATAGCTTCGCCAATCGAGTCGCGAGCGACTCCTCCTGCGAGACGGCGTTATGTACGGCACGACGAAATTCATCGAGCGTGATGTTTCTGTAACACAGCAGGTGAACGATAAAAAAAGAAAACAATTTTTAATGCTCCACTTGATACGAAATTCGAAAGAAAACGATATGTTTTTGCAACGAAATAAATGTAAATTCTTAATTTCTTTTAAATAGCCGGCGCTGTTGAAACGAATAATATCGAAAAATGAAAAAGATAAAGATAACGGTGTTTATTTATACCATACATTTGATCTGAAGAAACAATCGTCTTTGTAGAAATGAGAATTATACTCGGAATAACTAATTAGAAATACAATGAGAATGACGATATTCAGAAAGATATATTTTTTCCAGAAATTGATGTCATATTATGATCATTTGTGTAGAAATATTTTCGCCAGGAAATGTATGGGACCTCTATTATCATTTATTGGAAAAACTTGTTATCGAAAAACATAAGAGATATTTCCGAGTGGTCTGTACATTAAAGTTCATTACTGCGAACGCGTTTGTGTGTATGATATTGTATGCTAATGTAATATATAATAATTATAATTAATGCATAAAATACATGTTTCGAAATTAGCCGACGAACGCAGGACGGCGACTCCAATTTTTCGCAGACGAGTCGCAGCCACGAACGTGTTTTCATCGTTTCTCTAAATTTAATTCTGTAAATTTAATCACAGACAGAAATAGAGTACGAGCGAACAGCCCGGTTGCGGTAGCGCACCGTTCGTGGAATTTGTCATTAGGCGGAGGACTGTCCCGGTTTTGCAACGAATGGGAGAACGACTCAGAACGAATCTGGACGAAGGTGGGACGACAGCCTGTCGTAGCCGGGATCGAAAAGTATAGCTGGCTTACCCTTTTCTCGTCAGAGACATTACCGCTAATCGTTATCAGAACCGATCGATTGTGCGTTTAATGAAACATCGGCGGGATCTGCCTCCTCGTCGCGAAACAGAGACACGAATGCGACGGATTTCTAAAATTAGGCTGACTGGCGTTCACTCTTGCGAAACGCGCCCGATGCTTTCGTTTATAGAAAATTGAGCAAAAATCTCGTTCCTTCGCGCATTGATACGTGGAACGCATTGGAACGTGTAAATAATGCATTTGCAGGAGCGATAATAGAGAATTATTAATGCACTTAAGCAAAGGAAAAGAAACCGCCGCGACTTTTGATAAACGAAAAGGAAATGTAATACAAGATAATGTATAACTGTTGCAATTTCTTTGCTATCATTTCGCAACACCAAAGTAGTTTCTAGCAGTAATTATAAAGTAAATTTAAATTGGATTCTCCAAAATAGTGAATGATCGCGTTTTTAATGGAAGAGTGTTTTTAAGATAACTTCGACTAAACTCTGATTAACTTATCAATAATTGATACTTATTGTACTTTTTTGTTAACATGAACAAAGATATTAATTTTTTGTCGTTTAATATATGGAAAAAAAAGATCTGGAACAGCAAATTATATAATTTAAAAATTTTGCTTTAAGAAATTCAGTCGGTTAAATTAATCATCGATTAAATTGATGGGAGTTTAATTGAAATCGCTGTTAGAACGTCTTTCACGAATTAACTTATTAAATATTATTTTCTTAACACAAATAGAATTTATTAATCTTATTATCTAATACGTAAAAGAAAGATTAAAAAGGTTGAGAATAAATTATATAATTAGAAATTTTGCCGCGATTTTATTGGTCGAGTTATAAACGTCGATTATTTTAAATTAATTGGAGTTTAGGCAATCTGAACATCAGCTCGTTTTACTTGCACTTTCTGCACTCAAGTAATCTCTTCGCTCTTTCTTTCCAATCGAATATACGTCCGTCTCGTTTCGGGTTGCAGAAAATGCCTCCAATACAGTTAAAAAGAACAGACCGCATTTTCGCTGCGCGTGATTCTCTTTTCCCCTCGATAGTGAAAAAAAAAATCACCAACGGTTACTAGAATCCGGAGCAGTCGTCACATGACGGCGACGGGTGTGCGTGATTTTCTCGTGAGCTTCTCGATGTGGAGATCGAAGATTCGTTAAGACAAGAAACGAAAGGACTACCGGGAGTATCGGGCTACTTGGCTTCTCCCCGGAGTTTCGACTGTGTTCGAAGACCGTGGGATTTTGCGTATATCGTATTGCGTGAACGGCGAGACTTACTATCGCGACGATGAGATACATATTGGGTAACACGTTCGCGATCACCGCTTCGGCAACGATCCTTATTTTAGGTATGCTTTACATGTATATATTATGATAAATTAATAAACGAAGAAATGTATCGTCGTTAGAGCCTTTCATGCGTTTGATCTTTTCCCAAATTATCTATGTATGATGTCATCGCGTTGCCAGCAATCTCGTGTCAAGCTTATCTATTTCTTTTCTTCTTTCTTTTCCTATTTCATATGCATATATTTAATATATTATATATTTTGTATGTTGCAGTTTTGTATTATGTATTTACTGGCAAGGGAGAGCAGGTTAGCATTGGATGGTATGTTCATACATTTGTCTTGTATCAGTGGTTTTTTATCTTATTGAATTCTCGGCGTAAAGATATCCTAATGTTTGTTTTCTAATTTAGGTTCTTGACGAATACTTCTCCATATATGTGGTGCACATTAGGTATAGGTCTGTCGGTAGCTCTGTCCGTAGTAGGCGCAGCATTGTAAGTTAGATATATTTATAGTTTCAAATGGGCTCAACTCGTGTTACGCCAAAATTTCTTAATTTATTTGTCTTTTTCAGAGGTATCCATACAACGGGAGTGTCTATTGTTGGTGGTGGCGTGAAAGCTCCTAGAATCAAGACAAAGAATTTGATTTCTGTGATATTCTGCGAGGCTGTAGCTATCTATGGCTTGATCACTGCCATTGTTCTATCTGGAATGCTCGAGAAATTTAATTATGCGACAGTTTTCGACAACGAAGAGATCAGAAATCAAAACTGGTTGTCCGGGTACTTGATGTTCGGTGCTGGTTTCGCCGTTGGCCTCGTCAATCTTTTCTGTGGCATAGCAGTCGGCATCGTTGGCTCCGGCGCTGCTCTCGCCGACGCGGCTAACTCTGCCCTTTTCGTAAAGATTCTTATAGTCGAGATCTTTGGTTCAGCTATAGGCCTCTTTGGTTTAATCGTTGGTATTTATATGGTAAGTTAAGACGTGTCATGAAAGTAATATGCAATGAGAAATGGTCAAAATAATATGTGACTAAACGTGTCTATAGCGAATATATATACTTATGTTTACAAATTTTCTTTTCAGACATCCAAAGTGAAGATGGGCGATAAGCTATCATAAATTACCAGAGAATATGCTATGGAGTGTTATCGGGATCACAATGTTCCATTCCACATTTAGTCACCAGTAAAGAAGATTCTAGAGGGATGACTGCATATCTATGAAATCATTGTGAAAGAAAGAGAAGAATTTTCCAAATACCAATGTGTGAATTTGGTATATTATTGCATGTCTGTAATTATACTCGTGCGATTCTAGATGACTTAACATCCATTCTGTATCTGTGAATATCGCCAGTTATATCGTTTTGGACACACCATTCTACTTTTTTCGAAGCATAATGGCGAAGATTATATGTAAAAGTTGCAATAGGCCATAGTTTTTATCAATATTAGAAAGCAACGTAATTTTTGTTTCATATTTTGAGTGCGTTATAGCGCTCGCTTTTGCATAAATTAATGTACATATTTCCTTGTTGATGTAAGTAAAGTCAATACATAATATAATTTATCCTTTATATTCTAATCATGTATCTAATCATTAGCTATTTGATGGGAAAGTAGTTGTTTATAAAAATTAGAACGCATTATCAATCTCTTAAAAAGTATTAAAAATATTTATTTAACAATTGTATAAAAGTTTCTGATTATCAGAGGTAATAGTCATCATCGTTATTGCTTTCCCCGTTTAAGACTCCAAAAAAGGAGACTTGTGCCTACCTCTGATATGAATAACATTATAAACATTCTTGTAAATGTACAATATTATATAATAATAACTGTCAATGATCTCGGAAAAATTACATTCAAATAAAGATGTAACTAAATATATCTGGCAAGTTACATAACCATAATTCTTGTATTATGTATGTAACACATCGTGAATGCTCTTGAACGCATGTGCTAGCGCTTGTACATATTGACTGGCGTTACGACTGCCTTCGTAGCTCGTCACGACTGAACCCAAACGTTTGTCCTGGATCATATATCTAAACAATACATTAACTCTGTTTTAAAAAGTAATATAATCTAAAGGATATAACAAGGTGCTAATAATTGTATCATATCCAATGTGATGACAACTTAACATAAATGTCTTACCCGATTCCATAGCCATCGGGTACCACTGGTCCAAATCCGCCAACCATTACATCTGGACTTGATAAAGTAGATGTAGACAGTATATTATAATTTAGAGCATTGTAAGCTGGGTCTTGAAAAATGGCTGGCTTAACGGAACCCGATTCCTCTGAAATTCTTCTCAAAACGAATAGATGCCTATCGAATCCCTGGCCTGTAAAGTATCAAATCGAATTTATACACATTCTTTTAAATCCGTTTACTTGAAAGCTGCTTGAATAATCAAATCTAATTACCCATCACGGCCTCTTTCGTAAGCACGTTGTGAGCTTTGCTACAATCAAGTATCATCTTTTTTAGCTGTGATTTAGAAAGCTCGACTTGCTTCTGAGTCATAGCGACGCAGATAGCTTTAGTCTCTAGCGTACAAGGTCTGATAGTTTCTGTTCTGCCGTGTTTATATGCAGCTGTGCTGCAAGATTCATAAGTTGGTACCGATTTGCCTTCTAGGGTATACAATGCCAATTGGAATGCCAGCTGCATCACGGCATCCGGACTTACCCCGAGCTTCTTACACTGTTCCTTACCAAACTCTTCGTAAATCATAAAATCAACGCACAGCCGATTTACCCACTCTCGATAATCTATCTTTTGTTGATCGATGATACTCTCGCTCTTCGCGTCTATAGAGAATTGTAGTCTCTCTACGTTTACGCTTTCTTTAGAAAGTTCATCTACTTCATTAGGATGAAATCTAGGTTTCTTCGATATATCGGCTTTCACATCCTAGAATGACAAAGATTTTTTTACATTTTGCAATTCTCAAATTTTTACAGTCAATTGCATTAAACGATGCCTAATATGCCGAAACGGTATATCGCTCACTTGGAAATATCTGAGTACTGCAACACCATCGCCCCATGAGTGCTCAAAATTGAGTCCACCATAACCATCCTTAGAAACAATGAGAGAAAACGACTTGTCAAACCACCGATTGGTGCCGTCTGTATGTAAATACGTTCTAATTAACTTGTTGTAGTCGGTACCGATAATTTCATCATCTAAGATCATTACGAATACAGCCGAATCGATTTTCTGAAGAATTTCCCGATTCCCTGTTTCGACTAAATGTGAGCGTGCTCGTGCCCACTGGTCCCTTTCTGACGACGTAAGAATGCCCACGGGATATCTATTTGCTGGCCTATCGTCTTCCAAAATGGCTTTTAAGCACGCAGCTATCTCTTTAGGGCTACGAATGGAGTCATTTGCATCCAAAACGTTGAACGCATAAAAATGACCTTTCCTCAGTACGACCAGGTGTTTGGCTGAGGAATCATGAAAGATTCTATCTTTTCCTAACTCCGGTATTCTAGTCGTATTGAACAGATTCTTGTATTGAGACATATCTAAAGGAAAAGCCTGTAATAAAAAGTTTTCGTGTTAAACAAATTTCTATCAATTTATCTTAGAATGTTTCGCACAAAACGTCTAATTTATTCATACCTTAAATAGATAAGCGCCATACCAGCTAAAGCGAGATGGGATCAGTCTTGTGACGTTGCGAAATAACTCGGTATCTGACTTCTCAGGTTTCATATGAAACACCTCTGGTTCTAGAACATTATTCTTGAGCGATTTTAAGAATCTCATCGATGATACGACAAGATTTGTCGCCTTCACCAATTGCGCATCATACTTTGGATCGGATTCTGGCACGAAGACTAAGAAAGGATTATAATTGATCGGCAATGGTTTGCGATCTTGCAAATACATGTCGAACCACGGTTCGCTGATGTAACTGGTGTGTGAATTCTCAGCATTTTTTTGGAGTAACAGCTTTTGCAAGCTTTGTCCCTCGCTAGTGAGGAATTTCGAGACACAAGACGATGTGTTCTGCAACTCCTCATTGTTCAATAGAGGTTTCTGCGCATTCAAATACCTTCTACACGAGTCTTCGAGCTTCGGTATCGGTAAACGAGGCAAGGACGCTTGAAAATGCAACGTTGGCACTTTGCTAATCTGTATATATTGATATTCGGTGCTGTCGTACAAAGCTGCGGTACTCCTGTGAAACAAAAACACATAATTAGTATCTGTTTCTTTAATTAAACGGTCACACATTAAAACTTCAACGCCATTATTTCACAAAATCACCATTATTCAAATTATGATGCTAATTTTATAGTAGCTAATTGCACAGTGACAATTTAAGTCTTCAAAGTATAAAAATAAAAAACCTATGTCTCTATTACTAGAAATTATGTAAAACAAAACACTACTACCTAGCTAATTGCTGTGATAGTGCCACCCCTCCACGGCTTACCTGTAATATATGTAACAGAAACGGGAAATAAACGGAAAATGATTTTAAAAATTAAAATATGTAAAAATATATACTGCATATGACCGTGTGTCAAACAAGTAATTTACCATAAATTTTCGGAATCCGCTTTTCGTTAGGATAAACATCTCGTAATCCAATACCGCTTTTACCTCTAACTTAATTACTCTTGAAAATCCAACAAAAAAAAATATATAAAAATAATATAATTCACGTCAGGTCAATGTACACATGCACAGTGGTTCCAGATAACATGCAATGACAACTGACAACTGACAACCCTTTCCACTGTACGTCACTACACACTACATCACTGGACTGCGCATTGAATGGACGTATTACCATGAAGAACCAATTAAAATCAGGAGCTCCAAGCTCCAACTCTCGTGGAGGAGATAGTCCAAAAAACATCTACCAGCTGGCACCACTATTCACAAGTGCAGATCATAGGCAACACCCGGACGGCGGAGAGGTTAAGTTAGGTTAGACGCCGCAGTAATGTCTATCCGCTTGTATTTTCGTTTTTATAATTCGACGTCGTAAGTGGAGAGAAAGTAAGTATTGTAAACGAAAAGTTCTGGTCGTCACTAATATCGGTCGTCATCGCACTTATTTAACTCCCTCATCAACTTTCAGTCGCAAGAATCAAGTTTAAATAACAGAAGTTAAAAAGTGTGTTTGTGCAACTCTTGTGCAACATCGCGTAATAATGGAGGAGGTTACGAAGCTGGAGCACCTGTCTCTGGTGTCGAAAATCTGCACGGAATTGGAGAACCATCTGGGATTGAACGACAAGGACCTGGCCGAGTTTATTATACATCTGGCGGAGAAGAACAGCACGTTTGCACCGTTCAAGAAGGTGCTGATTGAGAACGGGGCCGAGTTCTCGGACTCCTTCATAGCTAATCTCCTCAGAATAATACAGCACATGAAGCCTGCAAAAACGTCCACCGAGAAGCCGTCCAAGTCTACGAGCAAGCAGGACGAATTGGCGCAAAAGTTTCCAGCGCTGGCGTTACCGAACGAGGATGCACGTTCCGAGGCCAATACCGCCAAGGACGAGGATATCGTTAACGACGTTATGGCCTCCCTGGAGGCGTTCGCACCATCTAATAAGAAACAGTCCGCGAATACCGAGGTAAGCAACGGTAAAATTGACAGTGTTGAGAAAAAGAGCAAGCGAGGAAGGAAAAGCAGAAGCAGGTCGAGGGAGAGGAGACGACATAGATCCAGATCGCCGAGAGATCGAAGAGAGAGACGACACAGATCTAGGACGCGTTCCAGATCGCGGACGCGTCACAGATCACACGACAGAACGCGCAGGAGACGTTCCAGGTCTCGGGAACGCAAGAGATCGCCATCTCGCGATCGCAAAGACGCGAGACACTCGAGGAGACGCGACGCCGACAGATCCAGATCCAGATCCGCCGAAGAGACGCTCTCCGCGGAGCCGGAGGTGGGTAAGATTTACGCCGGTAAGGTCGCGAACATCGTGCCGTTTGGTTGTTTCGTCCAGCTGGAAGGTTTAAGACGCCGCTGGGAGGGTCTAGTTCACATATCTCAATTGAGGCGAGAAGGTCGAGTGGCGAACGCGAGCGACGTGGTCTCAAGAGGACAGAAGGTTCTCGTGAAGGTTCTTAGCGTCGGTGGACAGAAAGTATCTCTGAGCATGAAGGATGTCGATCAGGAAACCGGGAGGGATTTAAATCCCGTGGTGTCGATCGCGAAAGCGGACGAGGACGAGAAACACTTGCGCAATCCGGACAGGCCCACTTCCCTGCTGGAGCTTCAAGGTAACTACGACGAGGATGAGACATATTCGAGGAAGCGCGTGCAACGCATGTCGTCGCCGGAGAAGTGGGAGATCAAGCAGATGCTGGCCGCGTCGTGCATTGATAGAAGCGAGTTGCCGGAATTCGACACGGAGACCGGGATCCTGCCGCGGGAGGACGACGAGGAGGAGGACGTGGAGATCGAGCTCGTCGAGGAGGAGCCGCCGTTTCTGCACGGTCACGGCAGAGCGCTGGGCGATCTCAGCCCCGTGCGGATAGTGAAGAACCCGGACGGTTCGCTGGCGCAGGCGGCGATGATGCAGAGCGCACTGGCGAAGGAGCGCAGGGAGCAGAAGATGTTGCAGCGCGAGCAGGAGATGGACTCGGTGCCCACCGGCCTGAATAAAAATTGGATAGACCCGTTACCGGAAGCGGAGAGTCGCACACTGGCGGCAAACATGCGTGGCATCGGTCTGCAAACGCAGGATTTGCCGGAGTGGAAGAAGCACGTGATAGGTGGGAAGAAGTCATCGTTCGGCAAGAAGACCAACCTGACGCTGTTGGAGCAGCGTCAGAGCTTGCCAATCTACAAGCTGCGCGACGATCTGGTGAAAGCCGTGACGGATAATCAGATCTTGATCGTGATCGGGGAGACCGGCTCGGGAAAGACGACGCAGATCACGCAGTATCTAGCGGAGGCCGGTTTCACCGCGCGCGGCAAGATCGGCTGCACGCAGCCGCGACGTGTCGCTACTATGAGCGTCGCCAAGAGAGTGGCGGAGGAGTTTGGTTGCTGTCTAGGTCAGGAGGTGGGCTACACCATCCGTTTCGAGGATTGCACCGGCCCGGAGACCAGCATAAAGTACATGACGGACGGTATGTTGCTGCGCGAATGCCTGATGGACCTCGATCTGAAAACATACTCGGTAATCATGCTGGACGAGGCGCACGAGCGCACGATACACACGGACGTGCTGTTCGGCCTGCTGAAGCAGGCGGTCGGTCGTAGGCCCGATCTCAAGTTGATCGTCACCAGCGCTACCCTGGACGCGGTTAAGTTCTCGCAGTACTTCTTCGAGGCGCCGATCTTCACCATACCCGGGCGCACGTTCGAAGTCGAGGTGATGTACACGAAGGAGCCGGAGACCGATTACCTGGACGCCGCGCTGATCACCGTCATGCAGATCCACCTGCGCGAACCACCAGGCGATATCCTGCTCTTCCTCACTGGTCAGGAGGAGATCGACACCGCTTGTGAGATCCTTTACGAGCGAATGAAGTCACTGGGCCCGGATGTACCGGAACTGATTATCCTTCCGGTCTACTCGGCCTTGCCCTCGGAGATGCAGACTAGAATATTTGAGCCGGCGCCACCCGGCTCGCGCAAGGTCGTCATCGCCACGAACATCGCCGAGACCAGCCTGACGATCGACGGTATCTACTACGTCGTCGATCCGGGTTTTGTCAAGCAGAAGGTCTACAATTCCAAGACCGGCATGGACAGTCTTATAGTGACGCCGATCAGCCAAGCGGCGGCGAAACAGAGGAGCGGACGAGCCGGCAGAACCGGGCCTGGAAAGTGTTATCGACTCTACACCGAGCGGGCCTACAGAGACGAGATGCTGCCCACGCCGGTCCCGGAGATACAACGTACGAATCTGGCCACCACCGTGCTGCAACTGAAGACTATGGGCATCAACGATCTTCTGCATTTCGATTTTATGGATGCGCCGCCAGTGGAATCGCTGATCATGGCGTTGGAGTCGTTGCACAGCTTGAGCGCTCTCGACAACGAGGGTCTGCTGACGCGTCTGGGCCGGCGAATGGCGGAATTTCCGTTGGAGCCAAATCTATCCAAGATGCTGATCATGAGCGTGCACCTTCAGTGCTCCGATGAGATTTTGACTATCGTCAGCATGCTGTCCGTGCAGAATGTTTTCTATCGGCCGAAGGACAAGCAGGCCTTGGCCGATCAAAAAAAGGCGAAATTTAATCAAGCCGAGGGTGATCACCTGACCTTATTGGCGGTCTATAATTCCTGGAAGAACAACAAGCTGAGTAACGCTTGGTGCTACGAGAACTTTGTGCAGATAAGGACACTGAAGCGTGCTCAAGATGTGCGTAAGCAACTGCTGGGCATAATGGACAGGCATAAATTGGACGTGGTATCGGCCGGCAAGAACACAGTGCGCATACAGAAGGCGGTGTGCTCGGGATTCTTCAGAAACGCCGCGAAGAAAGACCCGCAGGAGGGATACAGGACGCTGGTCGACAGCCAAGTGGTGTACATTCATCCGAGTAGCGCGTTGTTCAATCGCCAACCGGAATGGGTCATCTATCACGAATTGGTGCAGACTACCAAGGAGTATATGAGAGAGGTGACGACAATCGATCCGAAGTGGCTGGTGGAGTTCGCACCCGCGTTCTTCAAGTTCAGCGATCCGACCAAACTCAGCAAGTTCAAAAAGAATCAAAGACTGGAGCCGCTCTACAACAAGTACGAGGAGCCGAACGCGTGGAGAATATCGCGGGTTCGCAGGCGACGTAATTAAGGAATACGCTTATGATCTATGTAAATATCGTCCCGGTATAGTAATTCAATGTGCGTATTTTTCTGAAATCCTTAATAACATAGAACAGACAATTTTAACCCTTAAAATAGTATTTTCATCATTTTTATGCAGCGACAACTTGCACCTATAAATGACAGGACTTTGTGGGACAAAGAACACTTTTATTTTGCAAATGTAAAATGTAGAATTCTTAATTCAAGTAAAAAAAAATACTTTATTAGGAAGCAAGGAATGAAGACAGTTTATGATATCGCGAAGATATTGAATTGATTTTATTATGGTGTAACGATGAAACTAGAGAAATGTAATGCGATCATTGAATTATGTACAAGAATGCAGTTATAAAGAGGATTATTTACAGGTCTTTATGGTGTACATACTTGTAAACATTGTAAATATATAATCATATTCGTTCACGTCACATTGGATTTTCGATACTCTTTTCAACGTTTATCAAAAATCTACTTCGATAAGGTATGATACATTAAGTAATCAGTCTTTTTAGAGAAGAGGGCATTAGTTTAAGATTATGCGCTTTTCAGTCTTCCCCCTCTTGATTAATTATTAAATTTATTAAATAAATACATTTTCAATAACATTTAATAAGATGACATAGGAAAGATTTTCTTATTTAACTTATTCTTTCCTTCTCTTAGATTTATCTCTGACTTATAATAACCGAGTTTGTCCACGGACGCATATTCGTATTACATGTAACGGTTGACACAACATTTGTATAAAAGAATTTATAAGACATTTATAATCTTTCAAAAGAGACGCATTGATATTTTGTGTAACCAGGAAATATCACTTTTGAAGTTCGCTTCCGCACTTATGATATTATTCAGTAATACTATTTCTTGGCTCGATGGTACAAAATACATTTTCGGGAAAACAGGATTTTATACAAATTGAACTATTGAGATTGTTGCTTTTTTTTCACTATTTCCACCAATTGTTTATAGCGCACCTGGCATTCTTCCTGTAAACAATATAATTTTGAAATTGTAATGATGGATAAATATTGGATTTACAAATTTCTACATAGTCCGCAAGGAGAGAAATAAATAATGTACCTTTGTCTTTCCCTCGACGCAATTTGCAATTTTTTCCCATCTATCTACAGATGCACCTTTGGGATATTTCGTCAGGGCCGCTTCCAGTGCTCTTTGCTGTTCCTGACTCCACTCAGCAGTGCTGACTGTATTTTCACTACGAGTCTTAACCTTCTTCGGTTTTTCTTCCGCGGAAGCTTCTTCCACTGATTCAGCAGGCTTCAAACCTTCCTCTTTCACCTAACGTAAAGTATACGCGGCTCAACTTTTACTGTAGGATTTATTTAAGAAACAAAATTGATGTAACAGTAATAACCTTCTTAGCCATGTGCGTAACTTCCGCGACGGTACGATTCATAACGTTTGCGATTTTCTCCCACCGTTCTGGAGTTCCACCGGGATACTTCTTCACATATTTTATCAGTTCTAATATATCGTTATCAGTCCATAAGCCACCAGCCACCGTTGGCTTCTCATAGATGTGATTCGTATAATCGCACTCCTCTTTTTTAACGGTTTCCTTAGAATTATTACCGCTTCTTTCTTGCGGAGTAAAGCCAGGCCTGCGTTTCCTAACGCCGCGCGACGTTACTTCCGGTTCAGGCTGTTCGTTTTCTTGCGCTCTGGAATGGATATTCAAGTTTCTTACGTTCAAGTTGTTTATGATGTATGTAAATTATATAGCAAAAAACAGCTGTATACTTACAACGCCTCCTCTTCCTCTTGCTTTTTCTTCTCTTTCCTTTCTTTTAGGAGTTGAATGACGAGACAAATAGTGGAAGGTATAGCTATCACGGAACCTATTATCCACTTTGGTAACTGAATTGGAAGAGTGTCCCATATAGTTGGAGTAGGAATCTTTTCTAAAAAGTCGGCTAAGTCTGGAATATCTATTTTACTCTTTCTATTCTTCTTTTGCATCTTTTGAAGTTTACTACCTAAAACTTGTTCCTGTAATCATAATATAATATGCTAATTTTTTCATTTCACAAAAAAAAAAGACATTTCTCTTGATTGCAAAGGATGTGTTACTCACGCAAGTATATCGTTTTTCAATATACACCGCCCAAGCTACGAAGTATTGCCCTATCGTGATGACTATGAACAAGAAAGCAATCAACTCCAATAATCCCATTTTTCGGGCATGACGATAGTAATATACCGCCGACCGCCAATTCGGCAGCCCGTTAACGAGCACGTTATCATACTTTTGCCGTTTCCCGGGATCTTTCAAAATGTCATAAACAGCGACTAACTGAAAGGGAAAATTTCAAGTTGTCAAGATATTAAAATTCGAGAACTTTGAGCATCTCCCGCCTTTCCACTTCCAAAGTACCGTTCTAAATTGCAGTTCCGCATCCTCCGCCGAGTTCTTGTCCGGATGCAATTGCAACGACAGACGCCTGAAAGCCTTCTTGATTTCCGAGGCGTTCGCGGACTGGAAAGAAACAATTTGAGTCAATCAATCGTAATCGAGGTCGCATCTTCGCGTAGTTACATTTTGATATATCTGCACAGTGGAGTACCTGCGTGACACCCAGCACATCGTAAAAATTTTGATTGACCTCCTCGACCACGTCGAACACCTCCAGGTCGTCGTTGTCCCACGCGTAGGAGGACCTGAACACGTCCAGGAAGCAGAGAACCCCGAAAACGACCGACGGTAGATTCATCTTCGTCCACCGCATGCGGACATAGTTGACAATAATACGCGCGCGTATTTCCTTACTGTGCACCGTGCGAAACGAAAATATATCCACGTTCTAGGACATAGTGTCGCTCCTTCACCCTGATCGCCTAAGCGCGCTCCAGGCCCAGGAGTCAGGTTAGAAATCCTCTTTTTGCCGCAGGTGCCACATTGCCGCTCATGTCACACGTATACACCGAGATCGCTCGCGATTATTCGGAATCACGACGCGGTCGATAGTGTCGATACGCGCGGTATCGCGAGAATCGACTCGGCGCGACGAGCACCCGCTAATTCGAAAACAAAACTTGACTACTGCCGGTAAAAGAAGTAAAATTGTTGTTAATCTTTTGATCTACTTTTCGTTTTCTTTCTTCTTCTTGTTCTTATTCTTGTTCTGCCTCTATTCAACATGACCTAGCTCTCGTAATCGTTCTGAAATTTTGTTCTTTCTCTTTTTTTCTTTTGTTTTTTTTAGGGGGAAGACTAACATAAACATCTTATGCGGCATAATAATTATATAATTATTAATAAATCAATAACGGTATTTCTTTAGGGGAAGCTTATTTTTAAAATATATACTCAAGGCTTCTTGCGATTGACCAGTGAACTATATATATATAACGAAATAATGAAAAAAATGAGTATTATTGTCAAAAGTCAGAAATTACACTTTGGACATGTCGCGGAATTCCAGCGCCGGCGCGCGAACGGGACCCGCGATTGAAGAGGAGGTAGGGGTAGGACGTGAGTGCTCCAATTACGAGGGTGATTCACACGTGACGCACGAATATCGCGAGCAGTGGTTGTCACGATTGTTGGTGGTTGACGGTGGTTATCAATGGAAGGGACCGTTATTTGAAATGGATCTCGAGATCGACGGCAAAATACGTGTTTTTAATGAGAGATGCAACGATAGTCGAGATACGAGAGGTACTGGTCGCGCGAGAGTCAAGTACGAGCCGTTGGAACGCGTCGCCTTTACGCGCTGTTATTCCGCTGGTCCCGAGAATTCGCACGATATATGAGAGACCATAACCTATGAGGCCACTTGTGCGCACTCACGCAGACATCTCCGGCTGGATAGTGGCGAAGATATCGCTCGTTCAAAATGTTGGAGGGACTCGTCGCTTGGGTGCTGAACAATTATCTCGGCAAATATGTGGAGAATCTGAACACAGATCAGCTGAGCATCGCCTTGTTGTCGGGTGAGGTTATGTCGCGCTGCGCATTTATTTAATGTTTATATATTTTGTAACGTTTGCTCTGGTGCCATGCAGGGTAACGCACATTTCAAGAATGATTTGTTAATATATTTTTGACTTGCCACGCGCTACATCTATATTATAAATTTAGGATGAATACATTTATGTTGTGCAATGTTGTGATCTTTTTGGTGATCTTCTATCATCTCTTTAGAAATATTATTTTTATGCGAGGACCAATTAACTTCATAGCTGCTACGGTATTTAATAGTACTTATAACGTTTTACCGCTTTTGTTTTCTTAACGGTTGCCTATTTTAGGGGAAGTTGAACTGGAAAACTTGCCCCTGAAACGCGAGGCTCTGCGTCATATTGGACTACCCATAGAAGTCAAGGCTGGGTTTATCGGTAAAATCAGATTGCAAGTACCAGTCAGGCAGATAAGGACCGCGTCATGGGTGATAGGTATAGAGCAGCTCTATTTAGTGGCGGGACCAATTAATCTGGACGAGGTAAAATGATTTTCTGT